TAACTTTTTATTAAAAAATTAATAAATCATTCCTCATACGCACTGTCGCACTTTTAGGTATAGTGTAAATAGTGTGGTAAAAAAACGCTATATTTTATACACATTGCTTTCCGTTTTCGTTTTCTTTTTTGGAATTTTTAATTCAACTATTACAAACCATGTTTGCAAATAAACAAAGTGATAATTATCATAGCATAAAAATTAGTCAAATATGTTAGTTCGGCTTTCTCATGCCTCCATGCGTCGATATTTGTTTTTTGCTGCTCTTTGAATCGATTGTATAAATTTAGAAAGCAAATAAATTAAGCAATTATCTGCAATTAGGTAATAAATATTGCCATTTTTGTAGTATGCTATGAAGTAATTTATATACGGTGTAGTATGTATTTGAATTTATCATTGAAAATTTTTGTTCGAGTTTGTCAGCTATTCTTGCCTAAAATTTAAACAGAATATCACAATAAGTATGGCTCTTAATTCAATAATATCTTCTGTATACTTAAATCGGAAATATTTTGTGGATAGCGTTGACTCATAATATCCGTATAATTTTTATGACATTTTCCTGCGATAAAATTAAATAATCAGTCCGGCTTTGACCTATCATCGTTTAATACACGAATGTACTTATATACTTCGGACGGAAGTTGAAACACCAACTAAATAATTAAATAAATAAATTAAAACATTAATAAATAAATAACGAAATAAATATATAATATAATAAATAAAAAATAGCCAAATTATATCTAATAAACAATGAATTAGTAAATTAAAAAATAAAATTCAAATACAAAAATAAATAAGCAAAAAACGAGTAAATAACAAAACAATAATTAATTAAATAAAAAATAACTACATCATAATTAAATAAACTAAATAATTTAAAAAGATAATTAATTAAGTAAAAATAAGTAACTAAACTTATAAATAAATAAATAACTAACTAAATAAAAGAAACAAATAAATGAAAAATAAACAAAAAAAAATAATAAATAAAAAAATGAGAGAACAAATATATAAATTAGAAACTAAAATAGCAATAAAAAACTAAATTCTTAATTAAATAAATAAAGAAATAAATCAGAAAATAACTAAATAAATAAATAATTGAAAAAATTAATATATAAAAAAATAATTATTATTAAATTATCAAAAAAATAAACGGAATTAATAGATAAAATAAACATACTAATAAATTAAAGCATTAACAATTAAATATTGATATAAATAAATAAATAGTTAATTTAAAAAAAATAAAAAATTTTTTAACAAATAATTAATGAATAAATAAATAACAATAAAATAAATAAGTAAAAACGAAAAAGTAACAAAATAATAATTATCTAAATAAATTATATATAAAAAATTATTACAAATTATTAAATATACTAAATAAATTAAAACATAATTAATTCAAAAAAAAAAATTAAAAAAAGCAAAATAATCGGATAAGTATAAACATTAGTAAATAAATAAGTAAACAAATAATTCAATAAAGAAATAAATAAATGACTAATCAAACAAAAGAATTCAAAAAAATAAACAAATAAATAAAGGAATAACTTAATAAATAAAAAATTACAGAATAAATTGACAAATAAGAACCAAGAATCATTATAAAAAAATGAAGAATTAACTCAATAAATAATAAAATAAATAATTATATAATCAAGTAAATAAATAATTAAATAAGTTAATAAATAAACAAAATAATAATTATTAAGTAATTAAATAAATAAATAAAATAAATGGATATGGAAATGGATAAAGTAAGAAATGAATAAATAAATAATTAAATAAATAAAAAAGTAAAGATTTTTGTCAATTCTAACGGGATACAGTTTATGGAAAATATTTTAATATACCAGTAAATATAGTTAAGATTAATATGAATTAAGAATTACTTTTTTTATGATTACGAAGGAGTGAATTTATTTAGAAAGTTGGCAGCTTTTCGCGAAATTTTTAACAATGAGAAAGTTTCTCAAAACAATCCTATCTATGACAAGATTTTAATTTACTTTCCTTGAGACTTAAATTTTTTCTAAAAAAATACAAGCAATTAAAAAAAAATGCTAATTAAATGGTAACATTTTGTTTAAATAATTTTTACTGAATTTAGACATAGCAAACAGCAGGCAGCGAATGAATAAATTCGAGAAGGACGCATATGGACCACCCGGTACATTCGTATGAATGATAATATCTTTATTAGTATTAGATATTGAACTCCACATCTTCTACTCTTGCCGTTTAAATTTTTATGACTTGCAAATCACGTTACTACACTCATTTGAATATCAATATCAGCCAGCGGCGTTAGTTTAAGGTAGGTCCAGGCATAACACGCAACACAAGAAATGAACATAAAACCAAATCAATAATAACCGTACAAAAACAACAAAGAGCAGAGACAGAAAATAACAATAAAAAATAACCTACTAACAAATATTCAGCATAATGCGTGTGTAAACAGCTCAAAGGCAAGCCAAAAGCACTTTCACTTGTTGGACGCACCACCAACCGCCGGTTAAGCAGCCAACGAGTTTAGGCGCTTCTTTGATAGCTGAGAAAAAATGAAAAAAAAAAAAATGCTGGCTGCTGCTAGCAGTGTGTCTGCTGAGTGTGGTTTTATGTCTGATTATCTGTATTTTACTGATTCTTTTTGAGCTTCAGCCAGTTTTCGCTTTGCGACTTTGCACTACAAAATCATGGTTGGCTTCCGCGTCAAGTGGTTTTGCTTGTATTTTGTGGTTTTTGTGGGCCTTTCTTTGGTGTTTATTGTTTTTACTTTTTTTTTGAGGTGCGTGGCTTTTGCGTTAAAGAGGCAACAGAAAAATTAAAATAATAAAAGAAATTTCAATAAATTTCCAAAAAATATGAAGTGCAAAAATAAATTAAAAAAATCCAAAAAATTATAAACAAAAAATAATAAAATAAAAAAATATGGTAGACCAGCGTCTAATAATGTGTTTACTGAGAAGTTAGCTGCAAAAAACGTCCTTCGATCGAGTTTATTTTTTTATATTTTTTTTGGGGAATTTCCGCACCGAGAGGCGCAAGCCTCTTTCTTTTACCAGCCAGAGCGCGTTTTCTTGCAACAGCTGATAGCTGTTAGCTGCCATTGGACAGCTTTTTGACGCTTTGAGCCAACTGTTTACTACAACTACCGTATTTTTAGTTGTTGTTGTTGATATTACGTCATCTTACACATTAGGTTAGAAATATCAGCAGAGTTTGTTACAAACGGGTTTTTTAATTTTCTTCTCATCACGCTTGCTTTTGAGCCCAAACCAAATACTCTGAACGGCCAAGGCTGATTTCTAAAGATTGTATCAAAACTTAGCAACCAAGTCCAATTATATAAATGTAATGATTCTAAGTGGATCTGGCAAATGTTGGTCTCATTCGTTCTCCAGACTGTCTCTCTAAATAGTATTGAATATACTGCTTAATCGAAGCTGACGGAGATTTTATTGAAATGATTATGTGGCAGCTGTAAGGACGATGGAGAGCTGGGAGTCCATCGAACTATCTCTCACACAGTCCAGCTCTTAGCATCCAGCGACCCTACTTTTTTTTGGAAATTATCACGTGGAATGTCTTGGAGAGGTCGTATAAATCTTATAGCGCATCACAAGTGACCTCAACTCAACTCAGCTGAGCTTTACTAGTGAACTGAACACAGCTCAATTCAATTCAGCTCAATTCAATTCAACTGAGATGAGCTCAAATCAACTGAATAGTGCTGAGCTCAATTCAAACCAACTCAACTTAACTCAACTTACCTCAACTCACTTCAAACTCCGCTGAACTCAGCTGAATGGAAATGATCTGATTTCAACTCAATTTAACTCGCCTCAACTAGACTCAACTAGGCTGAAGATTGGGTGGGCAGCAGTTTCATTTTAGGAAACATCTATATCTAGTTACCCGTATTATGACTTCCTTTTAAAAGTTAGCCCTTTCTGCTTACAAAGAATTTTTCAACTTCTCAGTCAATCTTTGAACTTATTGAAGTTAGCAGAGAAAGCAAGAATTAGCCAATTGTTAGGCCACTTAAGTCTAGGTTAGGTCACCTACTGTCCGATCTAGCTATGGAAATTGATGCTTTGATTAACTAAAAGTCAGCTTGGCTACTCGGAGAAACCTTTTTTGGTTGAAATTATCAAGTCGCAGAACGACATATAGAAGGGGAAGCTCAGCCCGAAATTCCCCCAGATAAAGATTTAATTCCTGAAAAATCAAATTCGCGCCCATTCGGTTGACATGGTACCTTACTTTTCCATTTTACTTACTTCACCAACTATTCACTTTACAAATTTTTTGGGGTTTTTCGCTCAACTCTTTCGTTTTGCTTTGTGCTACTTACGCTTTGTCGCTGCTTTGGCTTACATTTTGGCTTGTCTTTTATATGCAAGCACGCTTACCTACCTACCTACCTGCATACCGACCTGCCAGGCAGCCAAACAGCCGGTGTACGCTTAGCCTACTCGCGCCAAAGTCAGTCAGTCAGTTAGTTGGCTAGTAAAAGACAAGACACGCGCCTCGCTGGTTGCTTCACGAAGCTTTAATTATTTATTGTGCGAAATAAATTTTATTGAAATAAACTCTCGCTGGGTTTCTTCAACTAATTGTCGCGCGCTTCTAAAAAAATTTACACCAAAGTCGCCAAAGTAAAACCCGACGCGGAAGTCAGCGTGCACAGTTGGTTTGGTTTGCAGCGCTCTTCGCTTCGCCCAGTGTCCGTGGTATATAAACCCAGTGTCGCTTTGTGTTTTTGTTTATTCGCCGTTTTTTTTTGCAAGCGTCACGGAAGTGCATTAGTGTAATTAAAGAAAAAAAAAAAAAAAAAAAACAAAGAAAAATCTTGATAAATGTACATGCGTAAGATGTTTATGTACATATAATTTAACATTAAGAAAACTTTTTTTTATTAATTCGAAATAATATTTACATTAATTAAAAAAAAAAAAAAAAAAAAAAATACACAATTTTTTTTTACAAAATTTTTTTAGCAGCATTGAAAATAAAGCTAAAATGAAATTAAGCAAAATTATATCATTATCACTCATACCCGTGTTGTATGTGTTGTTTGTATTATTGCTGGAACTTGTTGAAGATGCAGTGGCACAAAATCCTGACCCACTTTTCCAGTTACCCGTACAATTGGTCGGCTTTCCAGTTATTGTGCTGTCAGTGCGTTTATCGCAATTCGCTAAAAAGTTGGCCTACTCGCTGAATCCAAGTAAGTGGTAGTTCGGGTTAGTTGTTGTGGTTGTTGTTGTTGTTGCATTATGTAACCGTACTGTGTTGTGTTGAAAAAGCGAAGAAGGCTAAAATTTATGTTGCGTGGTTTGAAAAATAAAAGTGTTTTTGAAAATTAAATTAAATATTTCTTATAGAAATAATACAAGGCACCTCAGTGGAGTGAAAGTAAATCAGTTGAAACAGAATTAAATTAAAAATGTATATATTATCATATATTAAGTAGGCTTATTATTTTGAGTTTTCTGCCATTCCGGAAGATGTCACTTCTTAAGGAAGCTGTAATTGATTGGCATTTTACAAGTCAAAACTACGCCAGTATTGAAAATTAAACTATAAGCGCTTCATGGACGTATAGAAATTATTGAAATTAATTATAAAAATAGTGAGAATCAGGTAGAAGCTAAAAAATTTTTCTGTCGCCGTGAAGCATCTTGTCGAACCGCAATACAGAAAGCGGTGGAACAAATCGAGCCGTTAGTACAAGTTTAAGGGTAAAACACTTACACATCACTCAAGAACAACTGAGTATCAGAGTTGAAGGAAGGGAAGGAACACAGGTTCGTTGATTCGTCACTGTTTCTTAGAATTTGGCATTCCAAAAATGCCATTACACCGAGCTTTGCTTAAAGACTTGGGTCTGAAGTCCTTTAAAGTTTAATTTACACAAGAACTCAAGTCGGCCATCAACCATCTTTGCTGATTGGATCCTTGAAATGCATGAAAATGAGCCGGACTTTCATTGCAAAATCAACTTGACTAATGACGCACATTTCCATTTCTGTGGCTTAGAAAATTCAAGATTTCCATCCACAACTTGTAACTGTAATGGGACAATTTATGGTTCGACGGGGTCACTACACTTTAATCTTTTGAAAATGAATGGATTGCGCTATCGAAAGTTGATTAATGATTTTTGTTGGTAGTAATTTGATGATATTTATCTGGGCAACGCTAACTTGGAACAAGACAGCGCTAAGTACTGTGCAAGTAACGTAACCATCGATCTTTTAAGGGAAAAGTTTCGGAACCGCGTTAGCTGTCGAAGAGGTGATTGCAATTGGCCACCGAGTTTTTGCGTTATAAAAACTTGCGGTTGCTTCCTTTAGAACCACTTGTAAGGTAGGATCTACGCCAACAAGCCAACGTCGATTCAATATCTCAAAGATAGTATTCGTAAAGCTATTGAGGGCATAAGATAGCCACCTTCTTCCGTTTTGTTGATGGAAAATTTTATAAAAAGAATACGCTCCTATAAGCGTAGTCTTGATGTCCGAGTCGCAGTGATGGTTACTCTAGAGGTTGAGGATTCCACCACGATCTGCTTAAAAAAATCTAAACAGGAGCATGGTGAATACAAGGGAGTAAAAGTTACTGATAATGTTGTAACCTGGACGATGCCTTAGTCAGATGACTCCAAATAAAAAGGAATGAAATGCTAATACCATAATAACCACAATCATGCGACCCCTGAACCACTTGCGCTGGCTTGATGCATCTGCTCAACATGAGCGCAGAATACTTATGCCTATAAGCCCACCACTGTAACAACTCACATCTTCTAAAGTCTTCGACCGGTATCTCATTATCTGATCTCGAGGTCTTATAAAAATGTGTACTATTATTATGACTATTGTTAATCTGATGGGTATCCAGCCTGGGTAGGTTAATGTTCTGTCTCTCTTGTTTGAAAAAAAAATTGTCATTATAAGGCTCAGTTTCCCTAGTCTCCATTCAAATGTTAATATTTACTTTTGTTACTTTGTTTGTTGAACGAATTTGGCTCCAAAAAGGGCTTATTGAGTTCAAATCCCCTTAATTTTAATGCTTTATGATATCAAATTTTAACAGCTACAAAAATTAAAAAAAAAATCAGACTCTATTTATATAATACCTCCCTAAGTAATAAGCAACAAGTAAATACAAACATTTCCATAATTGCATAATGGTCTGGCAATCTTACGCATTGTACATACATATAATATAAAAGATGGCATAATGTCACCAAAATAATGACATGATGAGCAGCTCACTTGTATTTGACTATTATTTATGTTATTACCTTTGTTGCTTACTTTAGATAATTTAATGTAGTTGCAGTTGTTGTTGGAGTTATTGCGCATGTCTAACTGAGTTGTTTAGCTACGATGTTAGTAATAGTTTTCTCATCTTTTTTTCTCTGTTTTTTTAATGAGGTCAAGGCTGAGTGCTGCCTTGCATGACTTGATGAGTGACTTACTGAATGAATGAGTGAGAGAGCTCCACATACGAGTAGGTTGATTAAATAGTTTAGTGATAATGTGTGAACTGATCTGGTATGCAAAGACACAATCATAGTTTGCGCTGGTTTTTTATGTTTCAATAAAAGTGTATGTAACTAACATCTACAAGGGAAAAATACATAAATATTTTAGATATATGAAAACTGTATATATTATATTTATTTTTTTAAATTAAATTAATTGTATAAAAATAATATAATATATAAAATAATTATAATATATAAGAAAAAATGAATAAAATATAAAAAGTATGTAAAAAAAAAACAAAATAGAATAATATAAAATAAATAAAAGTAAATTAAAAAAAAGCTATATAAAAAAAACAAAAAAAGTGAAATAAAAGGACAAAAACAAAAAAAACAATACAAAATGAAATTAAATAATATCAAAAAAAAATAAAAAATAAAAACAAAAGCAAAATAGCATCAAATACATCAAATATATAAGTATAAAATAAAATAAAAAGAAACAAAATAAATTAAATTGAATAAAGGGAAATACTTTTATGCTTGCATTAAACTAAAATGAAATAGAAAAAACTAAATAAAATAAAAAAATTGTTAATAAACTAAAAATATGAAATAAAAAACAGCAAAAAAAAAAATGAAATGCAATACTCGTATAAACAAATAATATAAATAAAATAAAATTAAAAAACTGAATAAAATAACTGGAAATAGAGTAAGATAAAGTAGAATAAATAAAATAAAATTAAATTATAAAAATAAATAAATAAAAAAAATAAAGTAAAACTAAATAAAATAAAATAAAATGAAAGAAAATAAACTAAAGTAAATAAAATAAATTAAAATACCATAAAATAATATAAAGTGAAAAAAAAATAAACTAAAGTAAAATAAATAATAAATAAAAAAATAAAAATTATATAAAATAAATAAAATAAAACAAATATCAAATAAAACACAAAAATAAAAAATTAAATAAAAAATAAAATAAATTAAGTAAAAAACCAAATAAATTATAACAAAAAATAGAATAAAAGAAAATAAAATAAATTAAAAAAATGAATTAAAATGAATCAAAATAAAATAAAATAATAACAAATAAAATACAATAATAAAAAATTTAGGTAAAATAAAATTAATAAAGTGTAAAACCAAATAAATGAATACGAATTAAAATAAAATAAAAAAATAAAACAATATAAAATATAAAATACAAAATATTAAATAAGTGAAGTAAAATCAAATAGAACAAAAAACAAAATGTAATCAATTTAAATAAAGAAATAAATAAATAAATACATTAAGTATAATAAACTATAATAAAAAAAAAGAAATAAATAAATAAATATATAAAAAATATATAATAAAGAGTTAAAAGATATATCATAATTTTGCATACATGCAGATATATTCATGAATTTGTGGAAATTGCGTTTATGTCTTATATCTGCTTTTCCGCAACGTCTCTTTTATTAATTTTTACTTTAATGATATTTATCTCTATTCTCTCTCTTTTCATTAGATACCTATCGCGCACGCAGCAAACGTGACGCAGCTACATCTGCTGCTTACGATGCTGAATTGGCGCAAAAAGAAATCTTACGTGAGTTTGGTCCACGCGCTTGTATTTTGGAGGAACCTTGTCGGCTGCACGCATCAAGGCCAGGTCGTTTTGGTGCGCAACAACATCCAGCATGGAATGAAATATTGAGGTATTTTGAGAAAATTGATAATGAATTTTTCAAAAGTTCGAATATAGGTGTGAAAGGAAATATTTAAAATATATATTATGTTCGATAGACTTATTTACATGGCACTATTAGCTTAATTTATTTTTAATCTGTTTAGTATTTTAAATAACTTCTTCCATAACATTTTCTTTGTATAAATATTTCACTTTATTTTAATGTTTAAATATTTGGCTTTTGGTTTTAATATTATTTTAGAAGCATTTTAGGTCTGAATATATAAAAAAAGTTGGTTTTCGGTTTTTTTAATGATTTCCATTCCATTTGTTTAATGAGAGCTTTCCACATAGAATTTTTGTCATAGTTTTCACTAAATTTTTTGACTCAACTAACTTTACTTCAAGTCAACTCAACTTATTTTTTATAGTTCTTTTCTCTGCTTTTCCTCTCCCCCCACTAAGCTCCTTTCGTTTGCCAAATTAAATTTTCTCTGCACTTGTCGTTTGGTCTAAATGACTCTGTTAGCTCATCGCCATCTGAGTCGAATGCATGTTTTCCAATCAGACACGAAATCAAGTTTTTATTTGCAAATTGCTAACTCATCTGTGCATAATTTAATGTCTTGTTCACAAAACGTAATCGTTTTTGCTGTTACCTTTCTTTTTTCATTTCTCTTTTTTCACTTACGCTTACGACGTCAACAGCAGTGAACGCGGTAATTTCGCTCTTATTGCATAGACCAACCAAATCGAGCAGAGAAAACACAAACTCATTGAAGATGGTAAGAAAAAAGTTCGAAGAATAAGAAGACAAATGAAAAATGTTATAAATTGGCAAAGTGCATGTCATTGCGTCACTAACCGAAATCGGTTATTTCAATTTGCACAAACTTGATTGAACTATAAATGGTAAGATTTCTCTTATGTTCAAGCAGCTAAATTGGTGAGGCTGTGGTGGAGTTTTGTTTTCAAATGAGCCAAATTTTGGGAAGGGGTAAATAATATGAGTGCAGCAGAATAATGTGATGGTTGCCACATGAGTGGAAAAATACTACTTACTCAAATGTTAGCTTAAAGGATTTCAAAAAAAAAAAAAAATAATAATAATATAAAAAATACAAGCGAATCTATCAACCGAATGTATCGCGGAGTGTTAGAACTCTTCAGAAGAATAGTTGCATTTACACAACCAGACTCGAAGAAATTTCTTTAATTCATTTATGCTGATTTCTTTCTTTTCAGCCTTAGAATTTTGCAGTATGTAAAGAAACATACATCTTTACTGCTTGTCGTCCTCCCTTTTCTCAAAAGTTCTTGGTTTTTGACGTTTAATAGCATTTTCCACCCTGCAGTGGCGTTTTCTTGAATAGTGTAACATAATCTTTTATATTTTTTGATATCACCTAATGGTATCATTAGATCTTAGTAGTAAGAGGTCGCTGCTTGCTCCAGGAAATTTGGAAATTTTTTGCCACATAGCAGCTGTGCGCTGGATATAGCTGTTTGTAATCCTTCTGATCGTTCCTTTTCCTAGTTCTATCTTCTAAGTTGCAATTTAAACTATTAATTTTATTTATTAAAATTGCGTAATTTTAATTTTCGATTTTTCAATATGCGTTTTTAACATTAAGTTTTTAATTATTAATTTTAAATTTAATTTTTATTGAACTTTTATAGGACTTAAATTTAAATGATTAAATAACATCCCTTTTTTGAACATTTTTTTTTATTTTTTTTTATTTTAATAATTTACTTGAATTTTTTTGTTTTTGATTTGAACAAAAAAAAACCTATTTTAACTTCTATTTGTAACTTTTAATTATTTATAGTTATCAAACTTTTGATATATATTGTTACGATTTTGCTAAATCAACCTCTATTATTTCCTGAATCCTTCGGGTACGATCTCTGGATTGTTAAATAAAAACTCGCCAACTTAATTTGCAGTTTCTTTCGTTGTAAAGATTTATTCTAATGTTCCTTATTTTCTCAGTAATTCACAATTCAATTACAATGCACTTTACTATTTACAATCACTAGCACCAACTTTCACAATTTACTTTACTTAAATAATAATCTCCAAAGCGTTTACTTTACGACTTTACTGATGTTAACGCCAACGAGTTCACTTTGTAACTAACTTGACTTGGCAGCTGAGTGTCGCCTTTATGTAGCAGGCGGCTGCTCGTAGATGAAAGTGTAGAATCATCGAGTTGTTCGCTATCGAAGATTCTTGTTTTATCGTTCTAGAATGTACTAGTTATCGGCTTCTCTCTTTCATCTGACTTTCGCCTCGCAACAATATTTTCAAATTATTGACTTTTAGTACTTAATTTTAAACATCAAAATTTTTAATATAAACTTTTATTTAAATTTCTATTTAAATATATAATTTTTTAATAATGAGCTTTTAATATTTTTATTTTTAACTATCAGTTCTTATTTTTCTTTTACTTTAATTATTATTTTTAAGAGTTAGGTACTACTAATTAATATACAACTTTTTTCGTTTATTTATTTATTTGCTAATATTTAAAAGACTCAGTTTTAATTATTTTTTTAATCTGAATTGTTTTCAACATATAATTTTTTTTACATTTTTTAATTTAACCTAAAATTTAGTTATCATTTTTATTATTTTATTATAATTTTCAATTTTAATATATACTTTTAAGTTTGTGTTTAATTTTTTTAAAAATCCTTTTGTATACAACGTTTTTTTTAATATACAATTTTATGATTCCATACTAATTTTAAGTTTTGATTAATCATAATTTTATTTTAGTTATTATTTTTGCATGCTTTTTTATACATATATATTTAATAATTTTTTGTTATTTTTGAATTTATTATTTCTTTTACTTTGTTGGTCTGAGTTTTTTTTTATTATATTCAGCATTGGTCAGTAATTTTGAAAAAAAAGTCCCCTGATAACTTTTACACTTGGCAACCCTTACCGCTGCGCGAAATCTTAACTTTCCGGTAATTGACTTTTGTAAAAGTACACGCTAGTGAAATCAACTTTTACTATTATTCATTACAACTCATTCAATTCATTTGCAAGTTGAAAGAGCCAGATAATGCAAGCTCAAAATACCAAGTTGAAGTCATTGAAAATGTGCGAATAAAAATGGTGAAGAAAAGAACCCAAATGACTTTCAATAATGTTGCAAGTTGTTGCCGCATAGTTAAAGAAGGAAAAAAAGTTTTTTATCGACGCAGCAACAAAACCCAGAGATTAAGTGTTGAGAACAGACAGTGGCGAAGGTGCCTGCTTTCAAATTTCTCTTCTCTTTCAAAATCAAAGTTTTTCATTTAATACCTTCTTATTTATTATTTTGCACTTTTTTTGTTTTTAATTTTTATATATTTCTTGCTCTTACTTATTTTTTCTTTTCATTTCTACGCTGTCGCTTGCATTAATGACGCCAATGCGCTCATAAAATTTGGCAGACGCAATGTTTACGTATTGTGCGTTACTCATACGCCGTGTCGCCGTCGCCATTGCGAGTGAATTGCTTGCTCTGAGTAAACACACATTTCCCCATTGTTGTTCTTTGTTACCCTAAAAGTATGCTTCAATTGTGGACAATAATAGCAACGCCACTGACCTTTGTCAACACGTTCGCCGTTGGTGTAGTTTAACGTAAAGTGTGTGTGTATGCGCCTGTGTGCGTGCATTTATGCGTACGGAATAAATTAGTAAGTTTTCCCTCGAGATTTTCCCAGTCGATAAACAAGCGAATGACATAATAAAATAACCAAACAATAACGGAACAACAGTGACTAAGAGATGTTTGTGTGAGAGCTGTAGGGTGTAAGGTGTCAGGAGAGAACTGGGTAGTATTAAAAGCTGCTGCAAGGTAATTTTTGAGGGAAAATGAAAAAAATGTATAGGAAAAAATCAAAAAAATTACAAAAAAAAAAATTAAAGAAGTTAAAAGAATTATAGAAAAAAGTTACAATAAAAACTAAAAAAATTGAAGCTATTTCCTGCAGTTTTGCACATAAATATAAAAGACTTTTCACAAGAAAAAAAGTGGAAAAAAAGTATTGCTGCTATTTCCTCCGTTTTTATATTCAAATATACAAAAGCATTGGCTCTTAAACACTTCCCGTCACTGCATATAAATTTCTCAATTATTTCGTCACACTCACAAATCGCATTTTGTTGAACTTTTCTGCAACTTTTGCAATTTGTCTTATATTACAACAACTAAGCACACAAAAACCCGTATACATTTGTTCCATGCGCTCGTACAATGCTTTTGCATAATTTCATTGTTACAAAATTTGTGATTGTAAAAGTTTGCTCGCAAATAAATTCCATTTGACCAGCAAAATTAAAGAAGCGTCGAGACTTATTGTCTGCTGGACTGCGGCATGGTCGTTGTGTGGAATTAAAAATAGATATGCATTGTTAGCAGCAGTACTTCTACTCGTATGTGTGTTTCGCGTATGTACATAGGTATGTATGTAGATGTGAAGTTGCTCTTTTTACCAAATTTATTTTAGTTTTGCGACCTTTTGTGGCGAGATTGTCGCATTTTCTTGCTTTTAATGATATTATTTTTCACATTTTGCTTTAGAGATGTTTGGTTATTTCGGTACTCAACGCATAATGTGGTCATTTTGTGGGTAAATAATTTGTTTGCTCTTGTAACCCTTTTGACCTTGGTACCCAGTTCGCTGTGGTGAATCACATAAAGCTATTGACCACATTTTAAACATATATATTTCGTGTACATCCATCACTTTCAATTATTTAATGGGCAGAGGTATCAACTCATGAGCTGGTTTGGAGAAATAAAAAGCTGTCGATACCACAATTAATACAATACCAATGGCATAGTGAAATTGACATGCCTTTAGAAGCAGGTAAATCTCTATCTTCTTTTTGGAATACTATTTTGAAAAAACTCATTACATATTTTTTTCATAAAATAGTCATGGAAAATTTAAAAAATAATTATAGTCGATTATTGATATGGAATAAGATAGTAGGAATTTTTATTTTTCAATATGGACTAAGTGCTTTTCAAAGTATTAAGCAAAATCCTCGAAAAAATTTTAAATTAAAATAATGACTAATGAAACTCAACTCGATTAATACAAAAAAAAAAACATGGATGTCAATTTACCGAAGGTCGCAGTACGTATAGGGAAATGGCTCAAAAAAGGTATCAAGCATATTATTTCAAAAAATGTTGGTACGAATAAGATATTTTTTTTTGCCAATTTTGAAGAAATTTTTTTGTAACCTCAAGAACAAATAACTATGCTCCCCTCTTTGTTAGACGAGTGATCTCAATAAATTAAATAAGACATGGTAGGTGGGTATAGTACAGGTATGAGGACGTATTTTGATACCACCGAGACTGCAGTGCCCCACACATTGCTTTGAAAAGTTTAATTTGTACACCCTCCAGCTCATGGTTAAGTAGACCGTGACCGTTAATTGGTATTGCTTTCTTAAATGTAACCGACCATCATCTACATCAGCTTAAAACAGAGCATTCCGCTTCCAGACAGCTGTTAGTCATTTATGCTATTAGACTATTTCAATATCACCCAAGTCAAAATATCTGCTATAAAAATGGCGGCTACGCTACTGCATCGTGCTGGCGTTCAAAGAAAAAGAATACACATTTATGTGGCTACCCAAGATGGCCATAAATGTCTTATTTTCCTGTAGCACGAAAGAAACTGCGTTCGCTCTATGTAAAGAAACGATTCGAGTGCTTTCTGTAATCAGAAGAGGTTACATTTACTGCGGGACTGGTCATGCAGGCATTGAAGGTGATAAGAAAGTTGACAGACTAACTGAGTAGAGTGTCCTTTTAGAAGAAGACAAATCAATGAATCTACCAGTTGCCTTCAGGGAAGTGAAGGAAAAGCTAGAAGTAAAATTTCTTCATCAGGCAAATAAGGAACAAATCAAGGGCTGCAGAAGGGCAAAAACTATGCGCAAGATTTATTATGTTAAACTTACAAAGTTTTTACTATCAGTAAAGACATTGCCAGATATAACGTAATGAAATTTTCTGCACCTATTGGCTTAGGCAAATTGAACAAAGAATACCATTTCATCAAACAGATCGATCTCAGGTCCGTTTCTCGGTAGAAAAGCCATTTTTATTAAAAAAGAAAATTAAAAAAAAAAAAACATAAAAAAGCATAGAGAATAAATTAAAAAAAAAAATTAAAAAAAAAACAAATAAATTTGAGTTAACTCCGGCATGATTTTGAAAGAGTCGTGAGCTCCAAAATTAAAATTTTTTATGAAAATTAAAATTAAATTACACATTGTGCTCTACCATATTTATATTCTCCTAAGTAGCTAAAATGCTCGAGGCATTACAGCAGCTTTACTTTCATGCCATGCCTTTGGCCTGTGAAAGGTACTCCCTCTGATTAAATACTGCATTTTATGATTCACTGCCAATATTTTTTTTTTTTTGCTATTTAACATTTATCCTTTCACAAGTAAAACCTGCAGGGATATTTGCCCAAAGTCACTTAACTAGCTTTGCTATGCGATTTTATTTTTTCTTTTTTTTTGCAACTGTTTTATTATTGTTGCACGAGTAGCTGCTGCTACTCAGAAGTTATTATATTTTAATCTCTTGTCATGGATTTTTTTGTTGTGCTTTTAAAATTACCGTTGCACATTTCATATTGTTTGCCGCCGAATGAATGTTTGGCCATTTAAATGAGTAGAGGAAAAATTTTATGATTTTTTATTTAAATCTTTTCATTTTATTTTTACCATTTGCTCATCTCATCTATATAAATATATTTACACACTTTTATGCGCTTGTGCGCTTATAACGGTAGATACGCAGTAGTGCTTAATATCCTTTTGTTTCGAAATTTGTATTTGCTTTTATACTCATTTGCCATGCTATTGTCATTTACTCAGGGCTCACTAGATGTGATAGTAAATATGTATGTATGTATATGTGTGTATGTATATATGACTCTATGTATCGGCACTTATTTTGTTTAAAACATTTAATATACTTTTTTTTTTAAATAAAACCTTTTTGTTTGTCTCTCTTTCTATTTCTCCCTCTCTGCAGAAACTACAGAGTTCAATCAACTGGCATGAAACAATGGTACCTGCTCTCACTCTTCATTGGCGATGCCGTGCGCGATGTGCCACTCTGCCGGCACCTGGCCAAACGGATGCCATGTCCAGGCGTTGGACCATTGCCGCCACCGCAACCACGTTAAGTGTGTCCACAATGAAAGTCATAAAGCCAAAAGCGAACCAAAGTCAGTTTGGAGTTCCAGCCGTGCGCTGCTAACACCATTGGGAGTCGCTGGTTGTGCTTTGGTGTGCACTAGTTATATGTAGGGTTAGTTACTATGGACATTCCTCTTTATAGTATAAATAAAAAAAATATATATATATTTATGTATGCATATTTCTTTTACTTTACTTAAACAACAAAACGAAAGTCAGCGCTCATCGTCAACATATCAGCGCGCATTACTCATTGTAGCAACGAGTTGGTAGAGAGAAAATTTATTTTCTTTTTGAATACTCCTTTCCACCTTTTTTGTTTTGGCATATGTATATATTTCATTTTACTTTATTTCATTTGTTTTGTTAGCATACCTTTTTCATATCACCGCGCATATTTTCGTTTGTTTTGCTTGTTTGCCAAAGTTTTTAATTTCCATGCCAATGCAATTGTCATGACAAGCAGTAGTCAATGTACCATATATATGTATGTAGGTATCTACATAACTTTGCATTTACTTGCAAGTGCATAAAAGCTACCAACAAGAAATTACAACAGTCAACGAAGCGCTGAAGCGTTGAGAATGCACGAAATGAAACGAAAAGCAGAAAAGCAGGCGACGGTGCTAAATGTTACTGTCTCTATTCAGTATGTATGTTTATACATTTCTTGTTGTAGCCAGCAGTTTTCCTCACTGCACCCAGTAAGACCATTAATTAATTACAACTATGTACTGCTCAAAAGAGCACTAGTTCAGGACTAGAATTTTCTGACTAGTGTTCTACTAGTCCGAAAAATTTAAAAAACATTTAAATTTTGTTAATTATTTTCTTAATTCATTTGTGTTCATAATTTGTTATTTCAATTATAATTTAAGGTAATAAAAATTAATATAAAAAATAATCCTCAATATTTTCCTTTTGGTAATTTGTATGCTTAAGTAAAATTTAATTTTGTTTCTGGGTTTTAGTTTTTTGGAACTTTCTTAGACCATATATTTTTGGGAGCATGTGGCTGCTATTTTACATACCACCACGTTTCTTTATCAGACTTTTTTCTCCAGACACCTTTGTTCGAATTGGATTAATTTTGTTTCAGTTCCTCTTCAAACTCGTAAGCATACTTAAAAATATATAAATACATTAAAGGAGGAAGAGTGGAAAAATCTAATGACACAGTAATCCATGCAGAAAGTCGTGAAGTGTGTTAGTTCCAACTATAAATAATATGAGTGATACTCATATATAAATATTTTTCCTACTGATCACTTTGTTCGTTTCAAACATTGGTCAAAGCGACACAATTACAAGCATTCACTCTGCGTTCATTTTTCTCCTATTGTATTTCATTGTTCAGTTGATTCTGACTGATTTAGTATGTAAGCAACTGGGCTGGTGTGGTAGGAGATGGCTTACTGCGTTTGCTTTGTGGCAAATTTAATGGCGTATACTTGCACTTGTACTTCAATTTTGCTACTCCGTAGTACATATGTATATGCATTTCTTCCCTTTGTGTTTGTGGACATAACACCGCATGAATGTAGCAATATGTGTAGCCTTCAAAAGTGGTATGTAAATAATTATGACGAGTAAATTAAACAAATGTTGCGTGTAGATGATAGGCTGATAGACTGGTAGGCAGGTGAGTGAAAATGAGTGCAAAAAAAAAAAAAATAAAAAAAAAATGTGACTGATGACTGAATACTTGTAATGGAAATCGCTTCAAATAATACTATGTATTTGTATTTGTGTATGTACGTCCAAAGAAATATACGAGTATATAAAAGAGTTTAAATATGTTGCTAAGTGTTTTAACAGTTGTAAGAAATTCTAAAAGAAAATAGTTGAGTATAATATTTGAAAAATGGTAGTAATTTTTATACTCTTAATTCCCCAAATCCTTCCAAAATTAATTTTGTTCAATTTGCAAGTATCATTCCACTCATTTCCAGTGGCACTTTAGGCACTTCTCGAAATTGTAGTTTTACATAAGAAGTTACCTATTCACTGCAAAGAGGGCTCTTGAGCTTTTATTGTTGCATTAATTATTTGGTCCACAAGCACAAAAAAAAAAATAAATAAATAAAATTATAATTTAGTTAAATGAAATAGGCCCGAAAAAACGAGAATATTTTAATACTTTAACCTTCTATCGAGCGCTCAAAATTTTATTTATTTATATTTAAAAAAAAATTTAAGTTTAATATAAAAGCGGACGCGGTAGCCACTGGCGTATAGTGGCTCGGGTACAAATCTTTCTTATGTCATACTAACATCCAAAAAGTTAGAGAAAATTAATTGCGGTCGAGTGTTTTTCTGACATGAAATAAAGGCTCCTCTTAAACAACCGTCAATGGGTTCGGAGTCCTCTCGATTTGTTGGAAAAACATCAAGACGCAAAACTACAAATTGGAGGAGAAGCTCGGCTGAAAATCGCTTCAGCGGTTACAAAGCGCGAATTATATATTTGAACTTTTTGTGAGATTGGTGTTAACTTGTAAAATTATGTAAGGTATATTTTTACAAAATCGACTTAAATTGGGGTTTTCGTAATATTTACATATGCACAATTATTTTGCTTTTTTTCTAAATTTTTTTTTTTTTCGGAGCTAATTTGTCTATAAAATATGAGCTAATAATAGATAAAGTGTTATTTCATATAACCAGATTATCGAATTGAAAGATATACACATGCATATACATTTTACGACTACAATGGCATTCAATTTCGAGTTTATATAATATTATTGATTTTTTTTGCTTATATTTAATAAGGCTTTAATTGATTTTACAGTGGAATTTCTGCTCGAGTTCTATTAATTTTGTTGCCATCATACAATTGAGTCATGAATATGCTCTGTAGAACCTCTTTCTGATTAAGCTCTTGCACGTGAGTAATGCGTTTTTTCCTCAAAAAAAAAAAAAAGAATAGAAACCGTAAAAAATAAGATATAATTTTCAACAATTTAGGGAAGACAACTTTGTATTTTTCTGCACCAACAATTTTTATTTTCACTTTTTTTATAATTCAACCTTTGTTTGTACTTCTCTCTTCTGTGCCCTTGCAGCAAACTTCATCAATTGTCGCGTTGCTTGCTTCATTTATGCGTAGAATGGACAGTAATATACTTACGCAAGGGAGTGGATTTTTATTTGATTTAACTTGTTGGCAACGAGCATCGGGAGTAATGAAATTTAAGATGAGAAAATGAAATGTTATAAATGGATATATAAATACATATATATATATGCTTATAAACGTACAGATATGTATACATTTTATAAATGTATGTAATATAATAGGAATACAATAACATTTTTTTACACTTTATTTTATAAAAATATCTTAGTTATTTGCTATAAGTCTGAGATTTGCAATTTGTCCTGACTGAGCTCGTTCTTTACTTTCGCTGCTGGCTGCTTTTGTTTTTGTTGGTCACCTTAAACTGATTGCTGCAATTTCATGCGAGATTTTTTCACATTTCCTTCTTTTGATTAAGTTGTTTGGCACAATTGCTTGGTTATTGTTGCACTGACTTCTTATTTTTCGTAACCTTTTATTTTAATTTTTTTGTTTTACATTTGTAATTTAGATTTTTTATTATTAAGGAAATGTTAAAGAAAAATGTTTTTCAATCATTGATATTTAGTAAGCAAAAAAATTAATACATAAAAAGAGCGATAAAGTATATAGGTATATAAATAGTTCTTTAATAGGTTAATTATTATAGCAATCTTTTTACTAAATAAATCTTGACTTCTCTTATTAAGTTAATTTTTATAATTAACAGTATGTTATAAATAAACTTAATTAAAATATAAAATAGAAATCTTTCATTTCAATCTTGGACTTATGCACATATATGTATATTGTTAAAACGAAATTAAAATTTTTTTTTCATACTCGTATGCAGATTTTTACCTGAATTGATGTGTTTTAATAATTTTTTTTTTTTTCAAATTCTTTAATAAAAGTTATTATATTTATTTTTAATTTTCAAAGCCGGCACATATCATTACTTAATTTAAAGGAAACTTGCTTGAATTAAATGATTAAATTTTAAAGTGTTATATTGTATACCAATTATTATTCATGATTTGTAAATTTTCTACGAAAACACATTTAAAATGCTTAACGAATAATTTTGCAATTTTAATTGATCGCCAGTGTTATTGATCAAGAGTAGCCTGAAAGTATGCCGTAGCCTACAATGAAGTATAAACTATCTCCAAGCTATAAATATGTTTACATATTTGCAGGCATTAAGGTTGAGGTAAGTTTCAGTTGGTTGACTATATATAAATATATGAGAGTACTTGTCTGCGGTTATTGCAGTGATCAGTGAAAAAATGCCATTTGCCTAAAAACACATATCTACCTCTGAGCTTTCCCTTGGACCTTATCACATCTGAATATTAAAAAAAAAACTCAAAAAAAAAATAAGTTTTGGTGGCATGAGTCATGGACTATTTTTTCATTATTTCTGTTTTTCTTTTTTTTACCAGAAGCACGACTTTTTGTAAGCAATGAAAATAGATTCAAGAAAATTATTTTTCTTCTACATAATCTCACTACTCCCACAAATTAATACGAAACAAAATCTTGATAACTCGCTGAAATAATCTTTATGATTACATTAAAAATATTCATCATTTTCGATAAAAGTCAATGAAAATTTATTGTTTTATTTTATTATATAAATAGTGTATTAATTCTAAATTGTAAACATATATTTCTTAGAAAATAACAAAAATTCTTAAGAAATTTCGATTCAAATATTAATTTTGAGTTTTAATTATATATACAATATCGTAGCTCAGACTAAATTAAACTATTTATTTTGCCTCTTATTGGCTAAATTAATACATTTAAACTAATTTCTAAACTTAGTAAAAAAAGGAAATTAAAAATAAAATCAAATCAAATCAAATCAAATCAAATCAAATAAAATAAAATAAAATAAAATAAAATAAAATAAAATAAAATAAAATAAAATAAAATAAAATAAAATAAAATAAAATAAAATAAAATAAAATAAAATAAAATAAAATAAAATAAAATAAAATAAAATAAAATAAAATAAAATAAAATAAAATAAAATAAAATAAAATAAAATAAAATAAAATAAAATAAAATAAAATAAAATAAAATAAAATAAAATAAAATAAAATAAAATAAAATAAAATAAAATAAAATAAAATAAAATAAAATAAAATAAAATAAAATAAAATAAAATAAAATAAAATAAAATAAAATAAAATAAAATAAAATAAAATAAAATAAAATAAAATAAAATAAAATAAAATAAAATAAAATAAAATAAAATAAAATAAAATAAAATAAAATAAAATAAAATAAAATAAAATAAAATAAAATAAAATAAAATAAAATAAAATAAAATAAAATAAAATAAAATAAAATAAAATAAAATAAAATAAAATAAAATAAAATAAAATAAAATAAAATAAAATAAAATAAAATAAAATAAAATAAAATAAAATAAAATAAAATAAAATAAAATAAATAATAAAATAAAATAAAATAAAAAAAAAACTAAATTATATTTAAAATTAATTTCCTTCCCTACAAATATACTTTTCTGCCGTTCGGCGTTATATAATGCGTTGTGACACCCTGAGCATTTGTTACATAAATATTCTGGTCATTATCGCTGCCACGTGGTGAGCGTGTTGTTGTTGTTGTATACCGTGTCGTCTGATAGCGACTGCCATAACGATTATTAGTAACATAATTCGTATTTGGATAATCATAGCGATTACCAGAAGAAGAAGAAGACGAAGAAGGAGCATAGTAAGGACGCTTATAATAATTGGACGCCGAGTTGCCCGTAGAGGAGTAACGGTTACTATTATAATTAGACGACGATGATGGTGAGTAAGTGGATGAGCTTGTAGGCCTGTAGCGGTTGCTAGCACCGTCACCGCCTTTGTATGTATCAGCGCCACGATTATAGTGTAACCTGTTATCGTTGTACACCTGTATGTTTGTACTTTGTGTATTGTGTTGTTGTGTTGAAGATTGACTAATGTAGATAGGACCTAATGGTTTGTCCTCATAGCTAACGGTGTTATCAGCACTATCATCAATGTGATTATACTCCGGACGTTGGCTATCTGATAATACAAGCCGATCTGCTTCCGCATTGCCCATATAGTCATCGTAGTTGGCGGCATATAAGATTGGTCGGTTGAGTATTTTGCCCTTGCGTATGTGTTTCTCGTAATGATCTGGGAAGATGACGCGTTGGCCGTTTTGTTGCTCGTCGTATTCCACGCGTGTTTCGCGTGTGTACTCATGGTTCGTGGCTTCCTCATTTTCTTGGAAGATTAATGCTTTACCGCGCCGCGTGGGTCTACCATGCTCTACGCCAAAGCGTACCGCATCGCTCGGCTGCTCATTCTCTTCACGGAAGTGCACCACCTCACCACCGTCCGTATCTACCGTGGCGTCGTAAATCTCACTGCTTTCTACTTTCGTGTCTGTTGCTGTGGGAAATTTAAGTTTTCTCTCCGATTTTGCGGCATTGAATTTATTTATTACCTCCTGCAAATACACATCCTTTAAGCGTTCATCAATGCCACTCTCGTCACCTGCCGGAAAGAAATGTAAATCATGCTCGCCACTCTTAAAGACGACACGTCCCTGTGTATCGCCATATTCTGTACTCTCATTCGATTCACTTGTGTGCTCATCATCGAAATCTATGCCATCCTGCGTATCCTCATCATCTTCCTCATCGTGAAAGTCTTCCGAGTCGGCATCTTTTGGAAATTTGAGGCCTGGTTTTGCTTGTTCATTGGTCTCGTTGTCAACGAAGCTTATATCGCGCTTAGATCTGCTGCTTCTTCGCTGATATTCAACGCCACTTATGTATTCAGAGAGTATATTGCTAAAGAAATTGCCAATGCCTTGTGTAATATCGAAACTGGCGACTGTTGGTGGTGGCGTGGGCCGTGGTGTTGTTGTCGTCACAGGTGGATCGGCACCGGTTAGTGCAGAGAGTAGACTAAAGAGCGAGGTACCACCACTTGTGCTGCCAGAGCTGTCGCTACTTTGTTGTGCGTATTGTGTTTTGCTGGGCTTTTGCTCCTCCGACTCGCTGAAGAATTTGAAGAAACCACCGCGATGATTGTTTAAGTAATAGAGGATTTCGTACTAGTGCAGAGAGGGAGAGATAAAGAAGGAGAGAAAGAAGTTTGACTCAAAATGTATGTATAGGCAATATATTTTCCATTAAAGTTAGTCTAAGCACCGCAGATGCTGATTCCTTTATCAAGAAAATTGCTGAAAGTTCTAAGCAAATTAAATGAGAGCGGGAGTCGCTTTGTACTCAGAGTTCTCCCATTCTCCCAATCTCCCAATATAGGCTAGGCAAAAGCTGAGTGTTGGTATGCACGGCAACTATAATTTTTGAAATTATTTAGAAAAAAAAAAGAGACTGGAAAGAGTGACCTTGAGATTAATATTAACGCATTGAGGGGTACGAAAGTGGCACTTTTGGCCTTGGTTCTGACACTTTTACTATGCTGTACTGGGTGAAAGTATAAAAAAGACCGGAACAGCGTTTGTTTTGCTACATAAACGTGGTTCAGTACGGCTGAGTAAATCCTCAGAGCAGCGATAGCTTATTCGGGTTGTTAGAGATAAGAGAGATAAGATCGTAGGGTGGTTAAGGATAAAGTGTCTGGATGGTTCCATCTGACCATTCTCTTAGCTTTACAAACGGCAACCAGTCAAAATGGCCCACACAAAATAGAGCCTTCGATCTTAATCGATCCGGTCCGTATAAGAACGAAAATACTTCTGTGAACATCTCGGTCTTAGCCCATCGACGTAGATGAAGACTTCAAATGCCCAACAACATATCTACCCGTCTTCTACACCGAAACACAGATCTGCCGTCACTTTAATTTTTAAGACACTATCTTGAACAGATAGCCTGAAATCCCGGGCGGAAAGTAATTTTCTCACAGAAAACCCATTCGTCTAGAAGGTCACAGATCTTCGCTTCCAGGACTGCGATGGTAATAAGAAGTTGAGAGCCGATTTGGTTAAACTGTAATCTATGTATTTACTCAAAGCCGAAGACTAGGCCCTGTAGAAATCTCACAGCAGGCTTTTTGAAGCCTGAAAACGGTTTTCGCAGCGATGTTTTGCTTGCAGTGTCTACAGGTTCACCAGCAAGTGTCTAATGAAACAAAATAGGCTACACCATGGCTTCATAGAACTGTGTCAGCCCCTACACAGCGTCACTTTTTTTCTACTCCAGAATCGACACCTCAAAGGCGGGAAATCTACTCCAACCGATTGGAGATTTCAGCAAGAAACTGGCAGTGCTTTGATTAGAGCCTCTAAAAAGTGTGCTAGATATTGCTTATAAGTATTTGAAGTCGCTTTTGTTATAGAGTCTTACAAGCCTTTCATAGTTCTCGCTAAAGAGATCAGAAGCATTTCTTACTTTTTACAATTTCAAACTCAAACTCACCTCATTCTTCGGACACTTGGCATACGTTTGCGTACAGCTACGCTCCCCACCGCTGATGCCCAACAAAGCGGCACGTCCATAAATGAGAGCCGGTGATTGCGTTGGGAAGCCAGCAAGGAAACTGTAAACGGTGAAGAAAGAAAGAAAGATGAAATGACATTAAAAGCGTAAGTTTATGGCTTGCCAGAAAATCTATCAACCTTAAGTATTTAATGCAAATTTTAAATGGAAAACAATATTTTGGAAGGTAGACCATTGGAGATTTCATAAACGAGCTGGGTGGAGCACCCAAAAGCATTCAAAAGCAATCACAGCACGGCTTTAGTGTTAATACCGAGCAAAACATTAAAATTGAATTACTCGTACCAGACTTTAAACTTTCTTACAAGTTCACCAAACCTCCCTTCCCTTTCCCCGGCATGTACTCACTTCGTTATCGCCGGCGACGTGACGAAGCCGGGCAATTGTCCACGTTGTGTTTGACTGGCAATCATATTGCACAACACCTTCGGCACACATTCCAAGTCATCATTGCGTGCAATATTCTCTAAAGCTTTTATGAGTTGCATGTTTGGTGGTCGGCCACCACCGCCGCCACTGCTGCCAGCGCCAAGTGGGCGAGTGCCGGTTAATGCATGCAACAGACCACCACCACCGCCATTGCCGCCCAAGAGGAGATTAGTGAATTGCGGCGCATACTGTTGGGTGCCGGTGAAGAATGAAGCTAAGGATGCCAAGCCACCCATGCCGGCACCAAGATTAGAGGTGGGCTGTTGTGGTTGGTATGTTGGCGGTGGAGGACGATAATTTGGCGGCGGTGGGTATTGCTGTGCAGGTGGATAGCTCTGCAATGGCTGGTAGTTCTGTGAAGGTGCATAGTTTTGGGCAGCTGGTAAGCTGTGTGGGGGTTGATAACCTTGTGGTGACTGGTAGTCTTCATCGTACGGATAACGTTGTGGTGTTGTGTATTGCTCTCTAGCTGGTGGCGGTCTCTGTCCACTACCCAGCACTGTTTGGAGCGTCTGGGGTGGTGGTATTTCGCCCAATTGATACTCATTGTAATCACTGTGCGGTGTGAGTGGACGTCTTAACGGCTCATTGGATTGCGTGTAGTAGGGAGCGGCTGGTCGTAAAGGGGTGTGCGGACGTTCAGGTGCTGTTGGCGGTGCGGGTGTCACATAGAGTATATCATTGCTGTAATGTGGCGGTGGGCGCTTGTAATAGCCTGAATCCCCAGTCTTACCACCGCCGCCTTGCAAATAATTACCAAACTTGTTTGCATAATTAGAAGACGTCAACTCGGGTCTGCCGCTCTTAATGGCTGTCGTCGTCCCTGACGTTACGACTGCCGGGCTTACATATGTTGATTGTGGCTGCTTTTGTTGTTGTTGTTGTTGTTGTTGGTAATTTTGTATGCTGTCTTGTCGTTGCGGCGTTTGGAAATTCGATGTTTGCTGCTGGTAGTAGCTGGGCGGTGGGTAATCATGTGAGTCGTAAGAAATCTTTGTTGGCGTCGAAGGCGATACACCTAATTTACCCTCGTACGGACGTTCAGTCTGCGTATCACCATCACGTCGATTGTAGTCAGCAGTGGATGGTGTGGATGCCGTACTAGCACCCAACTCATAACTGTTTCCACTGTACACTGGGCGATTGTAAGACGAGCTGACTTGCTCGTCAAACACATAACCCGGCCGTTTGTTTTCCCCACCATTCAACGCAAACTGTGGTCGCTGCTGATTGTACGCATACGACGGCGGTGGGGTGGGATGCTCAGCACCCACAACTAACATAGATTGTACTGTGTACTCTTGTGGTCTGCCAGCCTCCGCGTATTGACTCTGTTGATATATCGGCTCTGGCGGTGGTGCGGGTCGAAAGTCCTGCCGTTGGCTCTTGTTCAGTTTGTTGGTGTATGGATCACGGTAGATCAGTATTGGTGTTGTATGTAATTGCGCTGGCACCAGCGATTGCTGTGTTGTTGTCTGTGGTCTTGGTGCGCTGGTGTAGAGATACTTTTCTATATTCCTATTCGCGCTGCCCACTAACGCTGCAGCCACAGGCGTTTGCTCTGTTTCACGTGGAAAGGTGAATTGCTTGTCGTCGTCTTTATTATAAGACACCAGTCCATATGGTCCTCCTTTACTTATGTGCTGCGTGTGAAAATTGGATTCCACATAACTGGGCGGATATTGCTTTAGTGTTGATTGTGCATCGGATGGTGTAAAGGAGATTATTTGTGATGGTCGAAAGTCGCCACTATTTTCGGGAGTCGATTGACGGCGCTCAATATTATCGGTGGCGGTTGAGATTACTTCGGTGACCTCGGAGAGTAGTTGCGAGGGTCGAAAGTCTTCATTGTAGGGCGCTGAGTAGCTGTAAGAGAAGAGGTGAGAGTTAAAAGACACTTTCATTTGTAGCTAGGCTTCAACAATACAGACTGAGTCGGACAGCTTACAACTTTTAAGGTCAGACAGGCCTGGAAAGGTACTACAGAGCCGCCAAAAATACACTGTGAACTTAAGAACCTTAAGTTAAGTTATTTTAAGCAGTCTCATTCAAAAAAAATAGCATTTTTAGAGCCAGAACTTTGTGGGAAAAGAAGTCCGCGAATGCCTAAATGATCCAAATTATCTCGACTTGATTGAGATATTTGTTTTGTGCTTGGTTGGTGAATGGTTACAAAAACAAGGAAAAGTGCCGTATTTGTAGTGAAGAGCAACCACAATTATAGCAAAAATTAAGATGAATTCCGAAAAATCCACTGTTGAGTGAGAATTATGAGCCGGCGGCATCAACGGGACCTTACTTTTTCAGTGAGGATCAAGGATCGAGCATTACTATGAATAGGGAGCGCTCCCAAGCGATGATTTCAAATTTTTTTTTTGCCGAAAATGATGGAGCTGAACTGCTATGTAGGTTTAATAAGATGATGGCACATACCACACATTACGAGAAACAGTGGTATAACTGAGAGGTGAGTTCAGTGAGGAGTTTATTTCTACAATGGATAGGCCAATCGACCGCCTAGAACGTAAATATAATGCCTCTGACCTATTTTTTTTAGAAACTACGTTAAGACTTATGTCCTGCAACGACTGGAGCCTACACTGAAGAAACAAAATGGCCCCTGAGACATATTGAATTATACGTTCCTAGATCGAACTGAACCATATCTGCTAAACAATCTCATATAATTCAGCAACTCACACTCAGAAATATGAAATTTCGATACGAGTTTTTAATAATTCAATAACCAGGTGACTGGCGAAGGAAATATACACCCATACTTTGTTTGAGAAAGAAAGTTTCAAGCTACATGAAAAAAGGATGGATGGCAAAGGAAGATGTAAGCGGTTTTACAAAATCTTTACGAATGGACTAAAAGGTGGCCGACTGGTTTCTATTGCGCTACATCCCTTCAACTCTTTAGTATATTTCAAGGTGGAGACGGAGATCTTTGCGGCAAACTGGCAAGCAACGCAGAAATTTTCATAGAAAATATCAACGTACGAGTATATAGAGATAGCCGATTGGAAATCAGAGCCAAGCTCCTTGACAAAATTAAAAAAAAAAGATCGGTGCTACCTTTAAAATGCTAGAAAACACTCTCAGAAATAATATAAAATTAGTCCCGTTCATGCGCAAGAACAAGAAGTAAGTATAGAAGAGCGGAGAGCAGAGCGATTATCAAGCGTCAACTTTATCAATAAATTTTCCTTAATTAAAATTTGTCTTTGCATCTATTGAGTTTCATCATCCTTAAAAAATACTTTACTCATTACTCATTATTTGCTCAATTCTCTGTTCATTCCTTACATACACACACACGCTCAAATTGCTTACCTCTCATAATCAGCTATTGCACCGACATTTCCGCCGCTATCACTGCTCACTGGCGCTGTTGTTGCAGTATTGCCGGCATTACGTATGCCCGCCACGTAAACGGCAAACGTTATAATTAGAAATGCAATTTGTTGCATACATTTCGGCGGCGTTGGGAACAACATTTTAGCAGCAAACATCATAAAGATACTTATGTTTATGCTGTGCAGACGTGAAAATTGCTAAGCAAGAAGAAGAAAAAAGTATAAATATAAATTATAAAATAGACAAAAAAAAAAAATTAAAAGTGTTGAAAGAAAAAATTAGACACATACTTTCGCATGCAACACTTGCCACACAGCACTTGACACTTGACTTTGAATTATTCCAGGCAATCAGACAGCAGCCAACCACACTTAGAGCCACCCACTCACTCTCTCTTCCGAATTTTGCTCTATCTACCTCTCTCTCTTTTTCTCTCTCTCTCTCTTGCCTCGCGTTGTATGCTCAAGTGCTGCTTTCTGCGCTCGCTTCAAGCGTTCTGTAGCACGCGCCAAAGCAATTCGCACTTTTGTCGACTGTCGTTTGTTGTCTATTCGCACACTCTTCTATAGTTGTGTAGGAAATTATTATAATTTTTCCACTCCTTTTTTGCTGCTTGCAAAATGTCAACGTTGTCGACGTCAGCAATTCATAAACATAAGCCACCGGCAACAACAATTGCTGCTGAGACAAATGCAAGAGTTGATGATGATAGTCTTTAACTAATGTGCTTATAAGCTCTTGGCTGTTGGCTGTAGGCGGGCGGTAGGTTGGGGGGATGGGGGGTGCAAGTTCAATTTGTGTCTGCGTTGTCACCTCGCTTTTCGCTCTTTACGTATGTATGTGCTGCGCCACGGCTCTTGAGTGTATCATTGCTTGAAATGCAGAAAAATTGCAATTTTTCTTGTTATCCACGCCAAGTCCTTGGAGATTTAGCTTTCAAATGCAAAGCTATGTATTTGTGTTGGCATTTAAGTTGTGCTTGCTCCTCACCTTCTCAGCTTCTCAGCTACTCTTCTACTCTGCTGAATGTCAGTCGCTTCTCCCACAGCTTCTTGACGATTCTCACGTGCTCCACGGAGACAATAAATACTTTAGTTGATTCACCCTCAAGCTATGTGTTATTTGCTTTAAGTTTTATTTGTCTGCTTGCAGTGTATTTGCTTTGCTTGAGCGCTCGAGTGCAACTCCTTCAAAGGTTCCTCTAGATGCTCACACCAACAACTTTTAAGCGCAAATTTAATTTTTTCTGATTATGCAACGTCACAATATTCCTCATCCGCCTTGGTGTCCTTAGTGGATTATGTTGATTTGTTGTGTGTGCGAATATTTTTCACTGCTGTTGTTGTTGCTGTGGTTGCCTGCAAAGATGATGAGTGTTAATAAATGGAAAAGAAGTTATGAATTGTACTATTGTATAATGAAAATGCTGGAGCCTAAAAGTTATGTACAGGTAGTGGTGAGCAATTGAAGGTGCTTATTCGTGTGTGTGTTAGTGCCATAGAAATTATTGCAGGCAAATTATTCAAATTATGTTGATTGTGTAGCATTATGAGTGCTGTGTCTGACTGTCTGACTGCCTGCCTTGAGGGGGTCACCGCTCGTGAGCTGCTTTTTGTGATAATAAAGCACATGAGCGGCAAAGGTAAGATTCGAGTGACTACTAAATATGGAAGGCACTAATAAATTTTGATCAGAATTAAAATTTTAATAATTTTTGGAGATGTTGAACCCGAAACTACAATCGACGACGTTGGAAAAGATGTTCCATTACTTGACCCTGAAGAAGTTCGAATAGCGATTGCCCGCTTAAGGAACAATAAAGCGGCTAGATCTGACGGGCTACCGGCAGAACTATTCAAACATGGCGGTTAATAGCCGACAAGGTCCAAGTACCAGCTAGTGTGCAGAATATGGTCGGTGAAAGCATGGCCGTACAAAAGGAAACCCCACAATCTGCGCCAGTTATCGTAGGAGAAGCCTCCTAAATATCGTCTATAAAGGGTTCTCCAGAGTTTTGTGTGAAGCGCTAAAGACCACCGTCAACGAACTGATTGGACTTTATCAGTGTGACCTCAGATCTGGTAAGTCAACCATTGACCAGTTATTCACTATGGGCCAAATCTTGAGAAAGACCTGTGAGAAGAGAATCGACACATACCACCTCTTCGTCGGCACGAAAGGAGCTGCCTTTACGTCACTATGTCTGTATTTGGTAAAACTAAAGCACCATAGGGATCGGAAAAGACATCTCCGATACCAAATGAGCTGGATAGGGAAGCGAAGGAAATGGGTCTGTTAGTGTTCAAGAGGGAAGAATGAAAACCAAGCTCTACAAGTTCCCTATCGTCTCCGTGCTGCTATATCGACGTTAGAAATTTTCGAGAGAATGATTTTGCGTAATATTTACGATACTCTACGAGTTGGGAATGACGAATATCGCAGTCGATGGAATGATGAGCTAAATGAGATATGCGGTGACATTGACATAGTTCAGCGAATCAAGGCACACAGCGGCTACGCTGGCTAGGTCATGTGGTCCGGACGGATGCGAATACTCCAGCTCTGAAAGGTTTCCATGCAGTACTCGCCTTGGGAAGGAGAGAAAGAGGAAGACCTCCACTCCGTTGGAAATACCACGTAGAGAAGAACCTGGCTTTACTTGCTATTTTCAGTTGCCGCCAAATAGCAAAAAGAAGAAACGAATGGTGTAATGCTATAAACTTGGCCTAATTCACGTAAGCAGTGTCTACGCCAGTAAAGTAAGTAAGCAGGTAAGGATGGAGAGGTTGAAAGAGGAAGTTGAAGACGTGAGCGTACGCTATTTAGTAGGCTCATTGTGCTTCCTTGCCCGGTTCGCTCGAGTTTCTTCCATCTATGCAGAGTCATCTCTATTAGGCTGGACCTCAGAGAACTGTGGAAAATTGGACGTCTTAAGCGGCTGAATGCCAAGCTGTTGTAAAGGTAAAGCGCTTCGTTATCTTCTACGTAAACTCTGCACTTGTTCGACGCTCCCTTACTTTGCTTTTGTTGTTACCACCTCAATCACTGCACCCACAAGAGTAATAAGCTAGCTTTCTAGCCTAGAAAGAGTTCGATCAGTCTGCAATCCACGCAGCCCCACCGTAGTTTATTGGAAATTTTGTTTTCAGTGAAAGCCTTGCCGTACTAATTATTGGTGTTTCAGACTCGTAGATATGAATATCTTAAATAAAATTTTTATGCTCAAATTTTCTTTTTCCCGCTGACACTGTACGTTTAGCCCGAGTTCTGTTATAACTTCACAGCGCACAGTGTTGTTGTTGCTGTTGTTTTAGCGGTTCGCTAATCCCGCTTAGGAATAGGTGTTATTAATCTAAGTCGTCAGGGTCATCTAATGGGAGGTCCAGGAAACAAGCTGCTTCGACGGGATTGGACAAAAGGGAGAGAGGGGTTAGATGAGTTGGTTTGAATGGACTTGCGAAGAGGTGGTTACTGTCGTGCGGAGACTCTCCACATGCAGGGCATACGTTGGGTATGCTGGGACCTAGTCTGGATAAGTAAGAGTTTAACGTGCTACAGTATCCAGACCTGAGTCTGCTTGTCTGCTATAGGTGGTGGTTTTTCTCCGAGCACGTCATCTACTGGAAAGGAGTCCTTGAAGGTGTTGATTTACTACTGGTGAATGCTGTTCAGTGCTTGTCTGTACGCCGTCCTGCCCAGCGGTTGTTGTATGTGTTGCTGGATCCTTAAGATCTCGCGCACAGTGTCATGACCTTCTCATTTACGGGGCCTCGACTGTTAAGGAAGTTTAGGCAGCCAACTGCTGTGATACTTCATATGTCGTCTGTGGATGTTGATGGGAAAACCAGTAATCATGATTCTTTGACTTTGCTTCAATACATTACATCTGACGTCCCTATAACCCCCTAGCCAAACTTGCCAACCTAAAACTTTTCAAAGTATTGAAACAGCAGGAAAAATAGAAATCTTCTTGCTTTTCATTGCTTTTAGAGTGGATGAGAATGGGTGACTAGGTGAGCTGCTGAACCAAGCTCGAGGAAGGGTTAAATTACTCATAATCTACCTTGACTACGCACTTCAAAAAAAAAAAATGCATTTATATTTTTCAATACGCGGAATTTTCTTAAGAAATTTAAATGAAACAATGCTTAAGGCGTTCATATAATATGTATTTGTATGTGTGTGTAAAATTATTTAGGCAATAATGAGTTACAAAACAATGACCTTCGCTTGCTTTCTTTCTTTTCCTATGTTCACCCACCAGCTTACATACAAAACAGCGGAGAGAAAATATTTGCGAAGCAAATTAATGCTTACATAAGTACATAAGTACGTACAACCGTTATTCGCTCCATCTAAGCGCATCCAAACGCGCTGAAGTTGCACAATATTGTGTAGAGATGACAAAAGCAAAATGCAAAAGGAAATTTATTCATTTGTCACAGCAACGCTAAGGTGATAAGCTGAATTTCTTCATCAATTTGTGATCTTCGTCTCGTTGTTTTTCCAACAAAGGAGAGATCTACGCCTTTGAATGGCTGATAGATTTTTACAAAAAGTTTTTTGTAATGCTATTTTTGTGTGCCCTCACAATTCACTAAATATTTTTACTGAAGAGTTTTATTCATCACTTCCGACTTCGGTATGGCAGGTCATTTTGTCGAAAATGTCTTTAAACTAATTGAAATCGTCGAGTCTGACCGCCATGCCAACACTGCTTAAATTTCCCAGAAGATGAATATTGCACAGAAAAGCGTTAGGAGTCACGTGAAAAAGGCTGAAAACACAAAGAAGATCGATGGATGGCTGCCACATGGGTTGACCAGAAAAATCTTGTTGGACTGAAACACTGCGGAATTGTAACGAAGTTCACACAATTCTGTACCGCATGCAGGTTGCTAAGAAAGAGTGGATCACTCACAGCAATGTCAAGGGAAAGCGGTTACGGCCGAAGGGTAGCACAAATTGTATCCAAGCCAGAATTGACGGCCATGAAGATTTGTATGTGTTTTTGGTGACATTGGCAAAGAATCATCTACTATGAGGTGTCACCCTAAGGCCAAACAATTAATTTGTACCTATACTTTCAGCAATAAAACAAGGAAAAATACAATGGCCCACGACCGGAAATCCTTGGTTAACAGAAAGTTAATTGCGGAATGACTTATCAGAAGCTCCGAGAGCTTGGTTAGGAGATTTTTAAGCAACCAGATTTTGCACCAAGGGCTTACCATTTGTTCTGGTCTGTGAAAATCGCATGTTCCAATTTTTTGCCAGTAGGAATAAAGGTTTCTATGAGGGAGGCATAATGACATTACCTAGGGAATGACAAAAAGTTTGCTCGATGATTTACAAATTGACATTTTGAAAAAGAAC